TATTCATATTACGGCTCATTTAATGCCTAGAACCAAAATTATATTTGTGTTTTTGTTTTCTTAAGAAAAGCTTTTGATTTTGTTTCATATGATAGAAGAGATCTGAAATAAAAATGATTGTTTGCATCCAAAAAAGGCTGTGCAGTAGTAGTCCTGGTTAAGTAATTGCACCGACACTACAGGGGTTTCGTCGAGAATATAATTTACATTAATTTTAGCGAATATACAAATGAGTTGTTTTGCATTTAGTTTATGAAATCATTTGCTCCACTGATTAGTGATTTGAGTGGTAAATAAAATAACACTCAAATTAGAGGACAAAAATAATTACACACAATATGTCCACACAAATTGAATTAAATTTTTATAATTTGTATGATTTTCTAACAGATTATTTTCACAGCTTTTAAACTAATTTCACTCATGAATTCATTTATATAACTTAAAGGTTATAAATTCAATACAAAACAATCGCATTCAGTCATATAAATACCGTATATGTCTATTTGTATCTAATGTTGGATACATTTATAGTCCGCTGTAGAGAATCATTATTTAGATTATACCCACACCTGAAAGGGAGTGATCTATATATACAAACCTAAGAGAGTACGTTTTCATCACTATCACATAAAAAGTTAATTATTTTCAGTTATTTATTATTGTTCTATGAGTAAAATAGAATTATTCTCTTGGTAAATACTAAGAATGCTAATTAATTATCTAATTTTTTTAAATAAAAATGTATTACCCCGACTTTAGGCTTACACTTTTGCTTATTGCCTTTCCCAATCTGGTCTGAAATCTGAATACTTTAGTATAATCAACTAATTTCATAATAATTCTTTATGTTATAACTTATAAGGTATATTATATTATTATAAGTTATAAGTTATAACATTTCAATAATTAAACATGTTCATTTGGTTAATATGTATTAACAATTATATTTTACGGTTTGACTTAATATCAAAAAGTTTTTTCAAGTAATTCTTAATAAATATGTATTTATAAGCCATTCATTGAGAGATTATTCCTATATTTACAGAATTTCGGCATTTCTTCGTATTTAAGTCCACCGACGCTTCCAATGAAATATAAATACAAAAACTGTATTCCTATTGATTTACTCGTAATGTAAGTGATCTATATAAACCAGATTATTAGTCAACATTCAACTATTTATTCAAAATTATCGGACACAAAGTGTATTGAAGTTTCATTAATTAAAACTAATATCCATTCCAAATGCAATCCCTACTCTTTTTGACCATTTCTTTGTTAATGATATCAACCATTACTTCATTTATCAAAATCGATGCCATCGTTGACACCAAATTTAGCCCAAAACTCTATGGAGAAGACATTAATTGTGATCTTTGCGGGGAAACGTGTGTCAAGTCGTGCACAGACGCCAGTAGTGTTAGAGGTATACAATCTATTAATTATAAAATAATTAACCAGCTTGTTTTTGTTATAAAATATAATCATATTTACTTTAAAAGCAATAAAGTAAAATGGTGTAAATAAAATATAATGTACCCGTAAGAATTTACATATTTTTAAAAAGTTCAAAAATAAATCTATGTTGAGTATAGTACCAAACAACTTTCACTTGTGGTTTTTACTATAAATATTTTGTTTAAACATGGTAAATGGGTTTTAAACTGAATTTTTCGAAATTGTCATTTATTTGTAGGACTAGAAAACTTCAGGCGTTGTTGTGCCAGTTATTTCAAAAAGCGAGCTACTGTTCCGGCCCTGTGGTCAAACATGAAGGAATATCGCCAACGTCTACTTGACCAGGTTAAATCAAAACTCAAACAAAATCTGTCAGATACTGACAAATCTAATTATGAGTAACTCTCATTCAACTTTTGAGAAAATATTTTCAATTTTCAAATATTTCATCAACTATAATTAATTATTATTTAATTTTTATTTCTTATTATAGTAAATAATCTTTTATATAAATTAAAAATACAAATATATTTGTGTACTAGTATTATCAAAACATTATGTACTCCTATAATTAGAATCTTGTATAAAACTACACAAAAATACGGTATAATAACAGAAATAATCATATTTGTTTTGTTATTAAAATATTTCACTCGAAATGTATACTTTTAAAGAATAAAAATAAAAATTTAGCAATTTATTTATACGCAATAATAGATGTCCTGATCAAACCAAAAAACAACGCTCAGGCTATAAAATCAAATATATTCGACATATTCTGCAAGAATTGGGAATATCTTTGAAACTCTCATAACAGATGGCTATAACTCCACACAAAAGACTTGCATTCAATGATTTTATTACGTTTAAAAGTAAATCTTATAAAATGTTTAAATTTACTATTTCTGAAATTATTGTAAAAATCATATTTGTTGTTTAATTTTAATCAAAATTAACAATGTTTAGTCTTAAAAAGTTTAATTGTGTATTAATTATTTAAAATCACATTTATAGTATTTAAGAAAATGATATTAAAATATAAATACTATTTAAATACAAATGTCATATGTATTTTAAAACTATATTTAAACTACTGTATTTAAAGTAGGTTTATATTGTTTTGAAATATGTGATCAAATATAAAAATTGTTTTCCTGATTGAAAAGAAAACAAGAATTTTTTAAAGCTTTTCCATTATATTAGAGAACAAAGAATACGTTTTTCATGATATATGGGTCTATAATATTGTTTCTCTTTCATCACATCCTTTCCTATATTTTTGAAGCGAGGATTTGCCGACAAAATCATTGTTTTTTTGAAATTTATTTTAAAATGTTTTAAAATATTATATATTTTTACTCTAAAAACTACGTTTTTAACCAATTAATAGTTTTTATTGTTTATCTCTTGGTTAAATATAACAACAAATGTTGAAATCATTAAAGAATTGCATTAAATAATGAATTTTTTTAATGTTTGTTAATTCTTGTGTACAATTTGTGTACTACTAAGAGGACTCATTGAAAAGTCCTCATAATTCAATTTTTATATTCTTTTCAATATTTTAAAATATTATTTAATTTAATAAACAAGTCTTTACTCCAGGCCAAGGTAACCTTTTATCAGCTAGTTTGAAAATCATTAAAATTATATTTATATTGTTTTTAAATTGTTTTAGAATATTTGATTCAATATTCAAAATGTCAAATATTTTAAAAGTAGTTTTTCATTCAAATCGTCAGATGAATGGTGATAAAAGTGAGAACTGTAGTCAGAAATGGATTTATATCTCAACGGATTTAACCGATCGCTCGGAAAATGATTTGCAAGAGCATTCAAACGATACGAATTCAATGCATTGAACGCCAGAATTGAAGGTAAACTTCAAGCCATCAGACGCTGAATGTGTTGGAAAATAGACACGTCTTCTACAGTCTAACACATGAAACACTTTTCCCTCAAATCCTTTTGGAAAACAATTCCTTTTTGTCATAATTGCAGTCAAACTAAACAATCGATTCTCACAACCACTCAATCCATTCCAAATTCAATGTATATTTTTGCTAAAAAATCATTTATAATCCTAAAATTTAGGTCTAAATATAAAACTGGACAGTTTACATTACTGAATAATGATAATTCTAAGTATTGTATAGTTTGTAAAATTCTACAGAAAGTGTCACCGCCTATACAGTAAGAAATAAATCTTTTGGTAAATGTACAGAAATAGGCACAAAGACTAGTGTATGATTCACTAGAGTTTACCATAAATGGTTAAGTATTATATATTTTCAGAAACCTTTCGCTAGCACAAACAGTAACAATTGATTGTTAGTACCTGGTTCAACTGACTTAAAAAATAATCCACAGTAATCATTACTTTTATTATTTATTATTTACATTTTCTAATTAATTTAAACTCATATAAATTATAATTGAATTTGTGTATCGGTTTTGAGAATGTCATTATAAATGTTTTAATAGGGCCATTTATACATATTCAGCTCTAGTTTGTTCTAGCACATCAGAATCTCATAATTACATATATTTGTACTTTCTTGTTATAACAGTTGTTTTTATAAACGTAATTATTATTTTTGAAATAATTTCAAGTAATAACTATATAATCTTAAATAAATTGAATTGTGATTGCTTCATTAAGAAATTTATTTTTGAATTTGAATTTTCTAGTTCAATAACAAATTAAATAAAATTGAACATTAACATTTTATAACAAAATATATTTTAAAAGTTATATAAATATTACATATAAAAATTCTTTAATTTAAATTAATTCATTTTCTCAAGGGAGTAATTTATTAATAAAATATTGTATTTGTTAAAAATTAAAACAAAGTTAAATATTTTATACTTAATCCTATGGATTAATATGAAAACGACAGATTAAAAAAATAATATCTAAAATAAAAATACAATTATATTGCTAACATATCAAAAGCTTTGTTATAACAATAGCATCCGATATTTTTTTTTTTTGAATTATTAAACATTGTTAAAGTGTTGAATGCAATCTACGTATATATTTTATTAAGCCTATTTAGTATCAAGGACAGACTTTCTGTATAGGATGAATTTACATGAATTTTAAAATAAATATAGGTTAGAATTTATAAATTATTTCAAAATATAATTTAATATCATAAAATAAAACATGTTCTATATAGTGTATTAAGAATTTGTTAAAATTAAAATACATAACAAAACTCATATATTTGTATTTATTTTTGACAACTTTTCTCATTTTCTACATTTGTTTTTGTCATAAAATTTCATTAAAAGATTATTTAATAAAATTCATGTATTTTTATACACTACTGTATTTTATAATAAAGAATAATAATACAGTAAAAGTTTTAAAAGTTTGGCATCTATTTAATGTTATTTAATTCAATTTTATAAGTAATCAATTTATTTTGTTTTTGTTATCATAGCATCAACATTAATTTAAATTTTATATTTAGAAATATTGTTTTGTTGATATTTGGATGACAAATAGTACCAAATATTGAATCCTACACATTTTGAAACAAATACCATATTAATAAAAATAAATTTAAAACAATATTAATATACACAAAAATTATTGACGCAAACTTTTTTAACCCATAATAGTTATTATATCCGTAACTTTTAGCATGTTCATTTTTGTTAAGCGCAAGTCAATTTATAAAATCAAACGTTAATTATACAATTTAATATTTTGTATACAGGTAATTTTCTAATCTAATTGATTTGTTTATATACGAGATATTAAGATATCATTGGTTTCTATGAGATAAAAGAGATCCCAAATGCCTTTGTAATGACGGGTCAAATCCAAAACCGATGTTAGGGTTTGTATTCATCACATTAAATGACTCGTGAATTCAGACCTATTTTTGTAATACATATTCAATGCGCTAATGACTAGTAATTTAAGATAAAATAATACAATAAACAAGAATAACATAATAAATAATTTATACATTATAGTAGAAAAGTCTTTGTATGAAAGTCTTTATAATAATATTTGACTTTTTTAAATACATAATTGTTAATACATATTAACCAAATGAACATGTTTAATTATTGAAATGTTATAACTTATAACTTATAATAATATAATATACCTTATAAGTTATAACATAAAGAATTATTATGAAATTAGTTGATTTTACTAAAGTATTCAGGTTTCTGACCACATTGGGAAAGGCAATAAGCAAAAGTGTAAGCCTAAAGTCGGGGTAATACATTTTTATTAAAAAAAATTAGATAATTAATGAGCATTCTTAGTATTTACCAAGAGAATAATTCTATTTTACTCATAGAACAATAATAAATAACTGAAAATAATTAACTTTTTATGTGATAGTGATGAAAACGTACTCTCTTAGGTTTGTATACATAGATCACTCCCTTTCAGGTGTGGGTATAATCTAAATAATGATTCTCTACAGCGGACTATAAATGTATCCAACATTAGACACAAATAGACATATACGGTATTTATATGACTGAATGCGATTGTTTTGTATTGAATTTATAACCTTTAAGTTATATTAATGAATTCATGAGTGAAATTAGTTTAAAAGCTGTGAAAATAATCTGTTAGAAAATCATACAAATTATAAAAATTTAATTCAATTTGTGTGGACATAATGTGTGTAATTATTTTTGTCCTCTAATTTGAGTGTTATTTTATTTACCACTCAAATCACTAATCAGTGAAGCAAATGATTTCATAAACTAAATGCAAAACAACTCATTTGTATATTCGCTAAAATTAATGTAAATTATATTCTCGACGAAACCCCTGTAGTGTCGGTGCAATTACTTAACCAGGACTACCACTGCACAGCCTTTTTTGAATGCAAACAATCATTTTTATTTCAGATCTCTTCTATCATATGAAACAAAATCAAAAGCTTTTCTTAAGAAAACAAAAACACAAATATAATTTTGGTTCTAGGCATTAAATGAGCCGTAATATGAATA